AAACCAAACTGGGGTGGGAGGGCTCTAACGAGGGAACCCCATTGTCCAGTAGGTGCTTGATTTGTGTCTGTGTAAAGTGCATGAGTGGTTGCAGTTCAAAAAACAAAACAAAAACAAACAAAAAAAATAAGAGGGATAAGAGAAAGTAGGCATTTTGGGTTATCTATACATGTTTAAATAGAAGGGTGGTAAATAGGAATGTAATTGTTTTGGTTAATGTTTAGATTAAATTGATTAAATACAGCAATGATAACGAGTGTTTAGATTAAATTGGTAAATGCAGCAGTAATAACGAGTGTTTGGGTTAAATTGGTAGATACAGCAGTGATATTGTGTTTATCTGTGAATCAGGAGTGTGCTGGATGTGAAGAGAGGTGTGTAGGTATTTATCCAAACGCCATAGGAAAAAATGTGGTTAAGACACCACAATCAAATGGTACTTGTGATGATTGGCACAGTTATTATTTATGTTTGTGTTCGTCATTGCCTGTGTTTTCATTCAAGAACTTTCAAGCAAGGATATTTTAAGCAGAAGAAGCAGCAGCACTGGACACTATGCTCAACTGTTGCTGTAAGGAGAAAAAAATATTGCAGCTAAGAGTGGTGAGAGTCGGAACAAAATGCATCAGGAGCAGGAAACTGTTACGTCAAGGTGGTTAATGGTATAAAGAAAGAAAAAAAAAAAAACAATGTGACCACAAACACACAAAAGTCCTTGATCACATGAACTGTTTCATTCATCCCTGTCTCCATGCGTATGTTCTATGAGACTGTCGAAGAATAGAGTATTCAGTTTCCAGGACTAATGTTTGTGAAAATTCCAGGCACACAGACCAGCCAGAGGCTACAGAAATCGAGTCGGTCTGTGCCATGATTCATAGGTGTTATGAGTTTGTGGTGTCTAATACTATATTTAGCTCCAAAACACATCCTCACATGAACACAATATCATTGGTTAATCTAATAAAACATGGTTTGAGTTGTCTATTATTACAAGGGTGGGTATTTGCCTATTTAAGGTCAAGGTTTCCCAACTGCTAATGCATGTGCTCAGTGGTTATTCCCAACTGGTGATGCATGTGCTCAATGAAAAAAAAATAAAAAAATTGAATAAGCAATAAAGTGTCATAACTTTACGGGTAAATGGGTATCATTCTTAAAAAGGTGGGTTTTGTTGTAGGGCAGGTACTGTTAAAATAGGGTAGATTCAAGATGTACGGGTTTATAATGTTTCTTTTATGACATAAGTCAAAGGGTGGTTTGTAATGGTATTTATTAATTAATGACTTTTTGTCATAAAAAAAAGCATAATGAGCTTAATGCTTTAGACGCACCACTAGATGTCAGTAAAGCATATTTAGTGTAATGCTTTGGGGGCACCATTAGGGGGAGTGTGTAGGAAGACCTGTGCTTCTGGCAGTGACATCACAGGCCAGCCTACTTACACTGAATAAAACCCAGATGTGAGGAGAAGCTAGCTCTCTGTTTGCCTGTACCTGACTGATCATGTAGCACCAGCTCTGACTTAGCCCCAGCCCTTTGGCTGGGGCCTTGTAAGTAATATGTTTGTATTGTAACAGTTAGCAATTGTAATAGCCTTAGCAACCAATAGTGTTTTGTGTAGTATTGTATTGTATAATTATTGAAATTGACATTCCGCTAGCATCTGTTTATTTATTATAGTTATATTAAATATACATTTAATATTACAACGTTTTGTGTATTTTCTATCCACATATTCGACTATAATACCATGAATTATAAAAATATTAATGTTGTTCCGTATTGCTTAATTATTATGTATTAAGAGATTAATATTCATATTTAGGTCATGACCACAACACCAACGCTAGAGAATTTATGCATTTTTCCCAAGTTCACAACACATATTCTCATATAGATGGTTTCTTTATGCGTAGTTCACATCTTCCACAAATCAAGTCCTGCAAGATTGGCGGATATCTACAAAATCGGATCATAACCCTGTAATACTCACATTAACGGACCAATATAGATATGTAAAGAAAAGTCCTTGGAGGTTAAATGAACAGTTATTAAACGATCCAGAATTCAGAAATCAAATCTTACAAGAACTACAGCAATATTTCATTACCAATAACTCAGAAGACATTAATCCAACGATGTTATGGCTAGCCCACAAACCAGTAATACGAGGATTTCTAATAAGTAGAGAGGCATACCTTAAAAAAACCCACCCAAACTGCCCTGTTGAACCTTCTCAAAAAGCTTCAAGATCTACATAGACAAAATCAGGCTAATCCATCTCTACAGGTACAAGAGCAAATACATCATATGCAAAATGATATTAACAGGATTAATTTCCGACAAACTAGCATTGCACTGGGGAAACTTAAAGCTACATCTTATTCAATGGGCAAAAAAGCAACAAAGTTATTATCGCAGAAATTGCAAAATAAGCAAGCACAATCTAGAATCCCATTCTTACTGTCTAAATCTGGACAAAGGAAAGCTATCCAGATATGCGATGAATTCTCAAGTTATTATAAAACATTATACAACCTGAAAGATCAGAAGAATACATCGCAACCAGCTTCAACCACAATACGACAGTATTTAGACAAATTGGACTTGACTAAGATTCAAGGACATCAATCAACACAACTGACAGCACCCATTACCACGGAAGAAGTAATAAATCTCATAAATGAAATGCCTAAAGGAAAAGCACCAGGTCCTGACGGATTCACTGATATATATCATACTACATTTAAACATCTGTTGGCCACTTCTCTTACTCACTTTTTTAATGAAGGAACTAAAAAGGGATCTTTCCCAACTGAATTCTTATCAGCACAAGTCATTACTATCCAAAAACCAGGGACACTCCCAACGATATGTCAAAAAATGTTGTCCTATTTCGCTACTGAACATAGATGCCAAATTATACGCAAAAGTTTATGCAGAAAGACTTAAAGCTATTTTACCAACTTTAATTCATACAGATCAGGTGGGATTTGTACCAGGTAGACAAGGGATAGATAATACAAGGAAAGTTTTAGATATCTACACTATCTTAAAAATCATCTAAACAAGAAAGCATCATGTTATCCCTAGATGCCGAGAAGGCTTTCGACCGTCTGAACTGGCATTTTCTTCATGAAACTCTGAATGTATATGGATTTCCACCTGCATTTCTTTCAGTGGTTAAGGCCCTCTATAGTAACCCGACAGCAAGAGTTATGAACTTAGGTTTTGGATCAAATCCTTTTAAGATTACCAATGGTACATGCCAGGGTTGTCCATTATCTCCCATGTTATATGTTTTGGCCATGTAGCCTCTAGCCTTAGCTATGCGACAAAACAAAGATATATATGGAATTCGAGTAGGATCAGATGAATACAAACTTAATATCTTCGCTGATGATATTTTGTTAACGCTTACTCAACCACATATTACTTTACCCAGTTTACATAAGGAAATACACAAATATAGCCAACTCTCCTTTTATAAACTCAATATTACAAAAAGGCAAGCTATGTGTTTTAATATTTCTAAACCGTTAGAAGAAAAACTTAAATCAGACCACCATTTTGATTGGATCACCTTGTGTATCTTGGAATCAGATATACAAAAAATGAAAAAGAACAGTTTTCGGTGAATTATACAAGATTATTCAAAGATATTGAAAAACAACTGAAATCGTGGAGAAACATGCTATTATCATGGGTAGGGAAAATAGCAGCAGTGAAGATGCAAATTCTACCAAAAATTCTTTACCTGTTTAGGTCTCTACAGATCAAGATCCCGCAAACATATATTTCAGCTCTACAGGCGATATTAATTCGTTTCAGTTGGGGAGGGAAACATTCCCGAGTCTCGAAGAGTCTAATAAAGAAACAAGCAAAAGATGGAGGCATGGAATTCCCAAACTTAAAAGCATATTATCACTCAGCAATCCTAAGCAATATAATTAGCATAAATTCGCAAATATTTACCTCTCAGTGGGTTGCAATAGAGAGTCACTGCTGTGGAACCTCTAACCTCTCTTCTATACTTTGGCTTCCCCATCAAAAACGGAAAATGTCACCTGATACATTATTAATTACTAAGCATTTGTTAAGAATCTGGGACAATAACAGGGAAAGAATATGCTCGGCTTACCCATGGGCACTGATAACCCCAATAAAAATCCTATATGTCTGCAACGATACTTTCCCCTACCAAGCTTGGAAACAAAAGGGAATAACTCAAATTTTTCATCTCTTTACAAGAAATGGTTTAAAATCCTTTTCAGACCTTCAAATAGAGTTTGAACTCCCTTCACAGTTTATATTCACATATGTGCAGCTTTATGCCCGCCAAAGAAAATAATATCTACTTGCCACGATAACCTTATCAAGACACAAGAACCGAAAGTATGGAAATTTATGGCAGAGTGGCAAAGGGATATCCAAGAACCTATAACTCAAGAAGTATGGGAGAACATTTTTACAATACACGAAGGTTTATCATCATGTGCCTCACATTTTGAAACATCACGAAAAATATTGCATAGGTGGTATATGGTTCCGAGCCGCCTCCGATCAATGTACCCGGATGCGGAGGACATATGTTGGAGATGTCATTTATATAAAGGCACTATGCAGCACATATGGTGGACATGCGATAAAGTAAACAACCTGTGGAAAGATATTGAGAGAATGATTTTAGAGGTTACAGAATGTAAGCTAGAACATAAACCAAAGATACTACTCCTCAAAGCTCTTCCAGACAATATTACTATATCTACAAGGAAATTGATTTTCTTACTTTTATCTACAGTATTAACTATAATAGCTAAAAATTGGATATCCCTGGAACTGCCTTCCTTACAAGAAATTAGGACTTTGATGATAACAAAGGTGGATTATGAATTTATTATGTGGAATCAGACAAAAATAGGGAGATTAAGCACGATAGTAGCTGATAGATGGCAGAGTTAACAATCACTTCATGACTCCTTTTAAACTGTGGACATTGATAAATAGGGGAGGGGGAGGGGACGGTAGGGGAGGGAGGAAGCAGGGAACAACAAAACAAAACAGGGAATTTATAGTTTAAGTTGTCCCTCTTCCCCCTCCCTTCCCTCTCGCCCCCTCCTCCCCCACCCTTCCCTCTCGCCCCCTCCTCCCCCACCCTTCCCTCTCGCCCCCTCCTCCCCCACCCTTCCCTCTCACCCCTTCCTTCCCACCCCCTTTTTTTTTTTGAGTCCACACATAGACCTATAAATGTATTACCATTATGCCCTATAAGTGTATTTGCAGTAGAGAGAGGGTATGATCTGCTTTCATATTAATGTCCTCTATTAGTTAAAAATCGCTAGAAACAAAAATAGATAGGAAATATCTGTTTATATTAAGATTACTCCTTTTTCTTTTATCTTGTAGCTTAAAATTCAAAGCATATTAACAGGCAGATTTAATTACCTCTAATTAATGCTTCTGTATAAGCGATATAGAGCTCACCTAGAAGTTACAATGTTCTCGACTCATGCAATACTTATGAATAATGTAATTATGTTTTGAACTTTTTAATTAATGGGGACTGTAACCCTTTTTCTTTTTTCTGTACCCTTTGTTTTAAAACGGAAAATCAATAAAAATTAAATTTATAAAAAAAAAAATGTTACTACAACGTGAAGCACACTGGATACATTGGCTGGGCAATGTAACACCCAGAGAACTCAATGAGAACATAATATTCTCTCTGTTTCTCTGAATATTTGCCTTAACTTGTCTATAGATTCTTTTGATATTTTTTTGGAATATCTCTCTTTTCTACCTGAATAATTCAGTTATAGGTTATTTATAGGTAGATTAACATCTCTCCTTCTAGATAATCACACATCTGTCCTACTGGATTCATGTCCTTTGTTTGAATATAATCTGTGATTCAGAATAGCTTAAATATTTGCTGAATCTGTCCATGACATGTGCAATCATTTTTAATGTTAGTTATACTTTTTAGAATTCTGGGTTATGGTCACTTACTGATATAATTTTCACTTAGTGTGACACTCTTTGACACGTAGTCTAACACACTTATAATTTTTGGCATGAACA